GATAGCAAGTTGTGGCAATTAGTTGGATATCTTGAAACCATATTCTGAGGAGCCAACACAGTGCTGGAGGGAAGGTAGCAGACTTTGGGGAGATGTTCAGCCAGTCGTATTTCAGAATGAGGTCAGAACAGTAATATTTTTGTCTCCTTTAGTTAATTTTTTTAATGGGCAGATTGTGGCAGAGCTGATTTAAAAAAAAAAAAAAATAGATGTAGAGTTTGGAACAAATAGAAAGATGAACTTAGATGTTATGGGTCCCTAGAAACCTCAAGACACCATTTTTGATATCCCACAGTACAGTGGAACATGCTTAAGTAGGTGAAGAGAGAAAGCGTATGACGTGCTGTATCATCTTTTAAAGCAGTCATACTTGATAAAATTAGAATGAGTAGACAGATATGCATAGTCTGTCTTTTCCTAAGTCATTAATCAAAATTAATTCAGGTCTATGATTCATTGATCCTTTTACATAATGAGCAGCTAAGGTCTGTAAGGGTCATCGGCACTTTGGTATTCCTTGTCGGATCCCTCATGAGCAGTGAGATTGTCCACTCAAATTGTCATCTAACCAGAACCTCAAGTAGTTAAATCCTCTTAACGTATTTTTAAGACTTTGTGACCATTGACCTAAAATTGCTGTAATAAACATCTCTTAATCTGTCCACTTCTCTGACTTTAGACTCAACAGTGGCTTGTAACATGAGGGAGAAGAGAGGGAAAAATGGATCTGATGTGTTTTAAAAAACTTCTAATGCCAACATATGTACATATAAAGGCTTGAATCTTTCTTGTCAATCATGGTCCCAGGCTAAATGTACCTTTATCTCCAGAATTTTATGAACTTTTAAATCCTGAAGGTGGGCATTCTGAAGAGCTTTTGTAGCCTGCTTTGGTAAGAGTAGATAACTGTTTTCTTTTCACCTAGGTTGGATCAGATGTTTTCAGATGCTTTTAGCAGAGACCATCAACTAATTCAAGCAGATCCAAAACATAGCCTCTACCTTGCCTGTGCACTTCTCGTTCGAGGAAATGTGCAGGTTTCAGACCTTCGTAGAAATATTGAAAGGTTTGCAATACCACGCACAGTAGTCATGGGATTTGTTACTGAAACTGTTGTCCTTTCTCCAGAGCACTCTCACTTTTCATTTGAAGAATTTCAATACCAAATCTGTTTACTCAGAAATATTTTTTTAATTTCAGAAGGGAAGAAAATGTAATTAATTTATGTAATGACTTAGGATTTCCAAATAAAGGGAGCTGACTAGATGTGCCTCTGCTGCTCTCCTCATTCTCAAAAATGCTAAAGAAAGCAAAGCCTGACCTTCCAGAGGTCTCCTGACAGTAAAGGATGTTGGAGGAATAAGTAGAAGTTGTTTTTTACTGAACAGAAGGCCCCTCTCTTTCATGGTTACTTTCATGTAGACGGAGAATCATCCTCGTTTTAACAACTGTGTATTGTTAGCACACTGTTTTTACCTTTTACACTATTGATCTACATAGTTATAACAGGAAAGGCAGGCAAGCTTTGCATACAGAATGGAGTTTACAGGCAGACAGGGGTGCATGGGGAGAATTTCTGAGAATATAAAGCATTTTACTTATTTCTAAACTACAGGTAGACTGATTGTTCCCACAAAGTATTAATCTGTCCCTCTCCTAAATCTGAGTGCTTGCAGTCCCTTCTATAGAAATGGGTGCTTGAAACTTTGTTTTTCAAACCCTGATACATTAAGTTAACAAAACAAAATTGGTGTTTGCGATTTAAATTTAAATAGACACAGTGTTTTAGTCTGAAATCTAAAATGGATTATTCAAAATTATAGTTATAACTGGTTTGCTTAGTTCCGAAAGCTTAAATGTTAACCTTTTCAGACTGTTTATTAGCAAAGGAAAGTTAAGTTTTGTGTTCTTTATATTCCTTAGGTAACTACATTTTTGTATCACAGGTTGAAGCCTTCCCTGCACTTTGTCTCCTGGAATCAAGAGGGCTGGAAAACTGGTTTGTGTTCAGTACCTCCCGTAGGCCATTCCCATTCCCTTCTGGCTTTAGCAAACAACACCTGTGTAAAACCAACTTTCATTGCACTCAAAGACAGATTTATGAAGCTCTACAAGAAGAAGGTACAACTCTTATCGTTGTAACATTTGTAGCCACTAATCGTTAGCATCTTGCATTACTGGGAAGCAAATCTTACTGTCACAAAGGGACTGCTTGAAGGTAACAGCCTGAGATTTTTATTTGTGTTACCTAGTAAGGAATCGTTCCAACAGCTGCTGCTGGATACACCCGTTATTAATCTGTACCTACCAGGCAATATACTTACTTTCTTCAGCAATGAGGTGCAGTATTGGGCAGATCTGCTTACCAGTTTGTGGTGGGTTGACCTTGGCTGGCCACCAGGTGCCCACCAAGCTGTTCACTCACTTCCTTTCCTCAGCAGGACAGGGGGAGAAAGTAGGGTGAAAAGCTCATGGATCAAGGTAAGGACAGGGAGATCGCTCACCAGTTACTGTCACGGGCAAAACAGACTTGACTTGGGGAATATTAATTTAATTTATTGCCAATTAGTAACAGACTGGGATAGCAAGAAATAAAACCAAAATTGGAAACACCTTCACCACACCCCACCCCCTTCTTCTCAGGCTCAATTTCACTCCTGCTTCTTCTTCACTGATCTTGGTGTCTGCCTGGCTGTTTCTCTCACATTTTTCTCACTCCTTTCTTACAGCTGCTGTGCAGCATTTTTTACCCCTCCTTAAATATGTTATCACAGAGGCACTACCAGCATTGCTGATGGGCTCAGCTTTAGCCAGCAGCTGGTCCGTGTTGGAGTTGGCTGGAACTGGCTCTGTCCGACGTGGGGGCAGCTCCTGGTATCTTTGCACAAAAGCCACCCCTGCAGCCCGGCGCTCCCCGCTGCTGCCAAAACCTTGCCATGTAAACCCAATACACGGTTTGGTCAGGTGTACCCAAGAAGACAGAATATAAATAGATGGATGTGCAAGAAATTAGTAGTATTGACTGTGATTCCATAGGGGATTGTTACTAAAGTTGCCAATTATTTAAAGAATGGATGTCATTATGTAGATCTTTACTTTCTACAGCTTGCACTCCCCTCTTCAGTGCAGGCTAAATGGTACTTATTGAGCCAAAGGAATTAGGTGCCAAGAAAAAGGATAACACTGAGGTTTTTTATTTTCATAGGCTCACCTGCACCATTATCTGCATATAGATGGGATGGAGCAAAGCTGTTTTTCTGAAGCCATATTGTCTTTGTCTGACCTAATAGAAGAGTACAATGAACTGGATGCCACGAAAGGTGGGCCTAGAACAGATCCATCAAGACTGAAGATAGCTGTTTAAAGAAGGAAAAACTGACTTAAAAATAATAATTTCCCCCAAGCATCCAACCACTTCAGTTAACTAGAATGAATTCAGCATGCCTAGCTATTGTAATTCCAAAGTGAGACTGGGACAATGACTTCTTCTGAGAAGCTGTCATATTAAGTGTCAGGCCCAGCCTGTAAGAACGATTTGAAAGGCACCTAATTATGGCAGATATCTGTAAGAGCAGTCTTCCTAACTGTAGAGTAAATTGACATACCATGTGCTATAAAGAGAGGAAAGAGAGGTGGTAGCAGCCAAAAATGTTGTTTTGTCAGGCTTTCACCTTGTGGTAAACTAAAGGCAGGACTTGCTTCAAAGAAGGATCACCGTTGCTAGGTTTGTTTTTTTAACAAGCAACTATGAAGAGGGGGAAAGCCTGCATAGTCTTTTCGAAGATGAAAGCAAGTCTCTAATGAAACTGGTTTCTTAAACTTTGCAGGATAGTAGTCATTTCAGAATGCTCTGAGCTATGTTCATAGTTCTAATATTTTTGCTTCCACACTGTGCTTAGCTGTGTTAGAGCATTCTGAATTGATACCAAAATTGGCAATATCTGAAAATTCAAGTATTATACTTGGAGCATTAATTAACATATTATTTTAATGAGTCATATTCGTAAATGCTGGGTTGCACTTGGTAATATACCTCTGAGAGAAACATGCACTTACAATGAAGTTATACTGACTGTTTGGAGAACAAAGTTTATATACTGAAAAGAGTGGAAGTAAAATAGATGTTTTAATTTTTATAATTACCAGGGTAAGTAGATTTTTATATTACAGTATGAAGTTTTACAAAATAGAATGTACAACTATTTCCAGTTGCTTGCCAGCCTCGGCTGTCTTAGAACAGCAAGACTGGTGGACTGTTACAAATGAGAATGGATCAATACAATCATTTCTTAAAGCCTGAAGTCGTCCTAGGAGCATTGGAGTGGGTGTATAATCAATGTATAAGTCCAGTATTATTCAATAAAACATTGTGATAACATTTGTTGAGCATTTTTTTTAAGAAAACATTCTAAAAATAGTCATTTCCATGAAATTTTGCATCTATCATCTGCGGGTGCCCACTATTTTGTTCCTTTACAAGTGCATTGTTTATATTCACAACGCTAGAGAAAGATCATCTGCTGCAAAAAGCAATCTGAGCTTAAAACTGAATTCTCCTGTGTGAAACAACTTTGAAGTATTTTACTATTGCATGTACATAGTAGAAAATGTTAATTTGAGAATCAAGAATAATAGATGAAGTATTACAGGGTAAATTTTTTTCTAATAGGTTAGAGCATCAGGGAATTTACATGTATTTGTCTTTGTGGGCAACAACTTGTTACAGTGGCGTACAAAGCTGTCTTGCTGTGCCTTTTTAAATTACCAAAAGTTCTTATTTTGACAATACTAGTGTTACATGCATCCTTCTCAATAAAGTATTTCCACATAGAAAAACAATTACATTTAAAAAGAAGCATTTTCCAGGTACTATTTAAAAAAATGAATATTCACATGTGTAGTTTCACCATAAGCATTGCTGTAGCAGGGGTTATGCTAACTCTTCAGGATGTGAATAGGCTGTTGCACTCTCAGTATGTTACAGTCAATGGTGTAGCTTGTCACACAACTTTGAGTTCAGAAAATATATCTCCAGGAGCACTGCAAATCCTCTGACATACGCACGATGTTATCCACATCATCTTCCACTTAAAGAAACCTTCATTGGGACACTCAAACTGTACAGTGATCATTTTGGACTTATTAGGTATGCAGCACCTCTTGTCCAAGCACACCCCACAGAAAGTTAGTTTGTAGCTTTGAGTAGTTGAGCATCCAGAAAAAATGAGTTTCTCTGCTGTAGGAAGCTGGAATGTTGGTTGGCATGTTTTTCCTTTTGGAATCTTTAATATATAAAAGCAAAGAAAAGCCTGAGTTTTTACACATTAAAAACAGAACATGTAAGAAAAAAATGTAACATTTACATATAAATATCTTGAAAATTACTCCTTCTGAAAGCTGTCTTATTTTTATCATTTGTTTTGTGTGACTGAGCACCAGGATGGCACTAGCAGCACTTGTATTTCAGGACATTATATTGTTTTGTTTGAAATTACACAGCAGTAGTTTACTATTGAAACCTTGAAGACTGAAGGTAGAAAACAGAAGAGTTATTTTTAAAACCCTTAAAAAAAGGTAGAAGTCACTTTATATTAGTTGCTGATATATATCAATTTTTCCATTACTTCCAATATTTTAATTTTCTATCTGGGAGTCATTTTATATTAGAAAATACCTTTATGGTCTTCAGTATATTGGTTAGACAAGGCTGGATGAAGCATAACCTCTTTTCTTTTTTCATTTCACACTTTCTGTTTTCGTTGGTCACTCTGCTGGATATGCCTATGCCACAGGTCCTGGAACAGGGTGTCCAGGGAGTTGCCTGTACCAGGCACTTTTTCTTCAAAACTAGCGGTAAGCTTCTGTAAGCTAAGACAGCAATATATTATTTATGCAGCAGAACAGCCCCAAAAGGATTAATTGAAAATAAGAAGATAAACATTTGATTTCTGTTCATGAAGGTGCTTTTGTAGGTGAATCTAAATATGAGGCATAAATAAAGTTATACAAAAGCTGGCTGGGCTGCCATTAAACTTTACTGACACTGGACACTCAGATGCTAGCAAGGAATAGCAAATTGCATGTGTTGTATGTCCTTCCAGTTTAATGTGATGGAAATGTTATGTGGAGAGAGTTATTTACAGAATTTTTGAGATGTCCAGAGTGGAAGAGACATTGAAAAATATTTAAGGCCAAAGCACAGCTTGAAAAGGGATGCTGAAAGCATTAATGTTGGTTTCTTTGTAGATGGTGTGAAGGCTTTAGGTTTTGTATTGAGGAATAAAATTCTCCAGTCACTTCTAGATATCACCAAAAAAACATATATTCTGATGGATTAGGGCTGGACTAGGTGGAGTACACTTAAAAAAAGAAACAAAATTGCTGTGCAAAAGTTTATGGTGAAACTGCCAAAAAAATTGCTATGTGGAATCTGTGCATTTAGGTAAGAGCATGGGCAGAATTACAAGGATACCTGGAAAGTAGACAGCAACTTAAAGATCTCATTGCAGCAAGCAGATTAAAAGCCTGTCATAGATGTACAACAAATAGGTTCCGTACTAACATAAGGAAAAACTTTTTCACTGTGAGGGTGACAGAGCACTGGAACAGGCTGCCCAGAGAGGTTGTGGAGTCTCCTTCTCTGGAGACATTCAAAACCCGCCTGGACGCGTTCCTGTGTGATCTACTCTAGGTTGTCCTGCTCTGGCAGGGGGGTTGGACTAGATGATCTTTTGAGGTCCCTTCCAACCCCTAACATTCTGTGATTCTGTGAAATAAAGGGAAGTTAAATGGTTGTTTATACTTGGTACTTTTTTTTTTGACGTATGACCTAGGTACATCCCTATGTCTCTGAATTAGGTAAATCAAATTGACAAGGAAAGCCAGAAAACAAAGCAAGAGCAGTCAAGTGAAACTTAGCTCTCATTATCCCCACTACCAGAAACAAAAGGCTTTTCAAAATAGATAGTGGCCCCATTGAGCTGTTCATGGGATTCATGCACAAGTTGACATGATACTTCTGCTGCACTGGGAAAGGGAAGGGGGGGAACCTCACTTTGAGATGAAAATTTCAAGGTGCTTTTCTTCAGAAGGTTTGTATCACCAAACGAACAGCATCCTTCAGCACAAACAGCCACCACAGGGGCAGGCTGCTGGGTCCCTGAACCAAGTCAAATAGGAAGTGTGCTTTGCGAGCTGCATATCTTTTCTCAAGGTTATGTTGTGCAGCTGATTCAAATTCCTGAATGATCGCTGTGAGGTGCAGTGTTGCAGCCAATGAAGGAGTTACTGATGGTTGGACTTCAGCTTTTGGATCTGCTGAAGTGCTACAAAGTAAATGGCTTAATGCTGTTCTCCAGGTATCCGAAATACAGCTCCCCACAAACCAAATTAATGTATTTCATGGGTCAAATAGTTTGGTTGCCGTTGTTTCCAGCAAGTTATGTTCTCTCTTCGATCAGATTAGCAATGTTCTCTGGAACTGAAGTCTCTTCATTTGAAGTCACTTGCCTACCGAGTGTGTGTCTATACACAGCAGTAAGTATATTTCTGTTAAAAGGCTTTGATACTAGTTATAAGTATTGTAATTTTGAAGTAAAGATGAGCTTCTTTTTTTATTTTTGCGAACTTGCATAACCACAGCTGATGTGTTAGAGGTTGTCCAAACTGAACTTCAAATTTTGTAAGCAGGTCTATTTATCTGCAGATTGACTTGTGTGCGTCTACCTGTTTACTCAGCAGTCTTTTATGAAGGTTTTTCTGATAAGCTTTGCCATCTTTTTTGGTTTATTTTATTGATCCATGGTGATGATTCAGGCCATCACTTCCCCACAATTTCAGCTACCACCAAATAAGTGGCTTAGCTTTCTGGTACCCACATTAGTTGTAGCAAAGACAAGTTTCGCCATGGAAACTGGCACATGCACGGGGAAGGAGACAGCACAAGTACAGGCAGCTGTGGCCAGGGAAGGGCCAGCACAGCTGCTTCTGGCAATGGTGCTTCCTTAAAGTGAAAGAGACTTACAGTGTTAGCAGCAGAGCAAAAATGATGTTAAAGAGAGTATCAGCTGACCCTGGCAGAACTGCAGGGGCAAGCTCATGTGTGCTTTTGATCAGACTGAATAGAGGAGAAATTGGGGGCAGCATTGTCCTTGCAGTGACCTGCAATTTTGTGAATTCAGGAAAGCCACTAGGGCAATTTTGATCATTTTCTGCCTTCTGTTGAAAGAACAGGCCTGCAACACGTTAATGTTTGTGTGTGAAAACCAAGACTCCCTACCACCACAAAACAGGAGAAAGTGAGACAGCTCCCAGGCTGCCAAATGGCCATCCACCAGCAGCCCTAATTGGTCTGATCTGATGAGTAGTAAAACGCTGCAGAAAGATGGGTTGAAGGTAGCTTTGGCCAACTGCCTCGTGACAGAAGCCAAAAGGCCTTTTGCTTTTCATATTCATTGGGTTTAGAGAAAAGAATCTGTGACCTAAGAGTAAGAGGGGTAATTGGGACAGACCAGTCACCCTGGCAGTGGCCTTCAGTAAGAACTGAGAAATTGCCAGCGTGCTGCCTGCTTGTCTGCTGGAGCCAGGGACACTAAATGCAGCAAGGCTCATGTACAGAAAAGTTTACCAGTGTAGCCAGGCACACCTGACATCAGTCTGTAGTTTGTTGATTGAAGCTGCTTGTGCTGTCCCAGGCCACAGATGGATTGTCCAGGTTTCTTTCTGCCCATGACTCTGGCGCAGGGACTTGCTGCTAATCTTGGTGTGAATACAGGTGTACATCCAATTGCACCACTGACACACAGGCACTTATAAAGTGAGTTAGGTTGGAAGGTCTGCCCGTTAACATAATAAACTCCATTGAGCTCACATCCTACAGCTACCAGATCTGCAAATAATAAACAACAGTTACTAACACAGAGGGAGCATGTGATTCCTGCTTACGGAGTGCTAAAATGCTGTCAGCCTTTATTGCACCCACAGGTTCGAGTTCTTCCCAACCCAAGCACTTTTTTTTTTTTTAATTTATGCCCCATGATGACTACAGCCACCTAACTTTAAATCACTCATCTGCAAATAACAAGCTTGTGCACAATGAACTGGTTTCACTAATGCATATGTAGGTAAGTTTAAAGACAGTCACAGCCCTGCTCTCAGATCCTCTGATTGAGCAGTCAGAGGACTAAATTAGGATAAATTGCCTAGCACAGAGCTGAGCAGCGCCAGTGAGCAGAGTCTTCCTCCAAAACCATTCACCTGCATGGTCCCACCCTCCTGGATTTCAAGAAGGGAATGTGAAAGAACAACTTACATGCACACACGCCTGTTTCGTACCTAGGCTCATCTTCTGAGTAGTCGCAGTAGAGGCCTTTGTGGGGATCACAGATGTCTGCTTCATTGCAGGTCTCTCCTGACTGCTTGGCACAGACCTTACAGCAGCCGCAACCATCCTTCACCAAGCTTACTCCGGGGGTGCAGGTTGGCACAGGTGGGCATCTGCATGGCCAGTGACAAACCTCCTTGCGCTGGTGGGCTTCACCAGTTTCTGAAGGTTTTTCTCCAGGCCTCACTGGTGGGCTGTGGAAAAACTTACACACAGTTGGATATTTTGAGAGCTGAACGCACTATGCATAACTGGGACAGCATAAAATGAAGTTGGGATGGAAAAAAAACTGTGAAGTTGCATGGAGACACTTAACATTTCTCGCCTCACAGGATCCAAAAAGAGAGAGGCCATGAGGTTTAGGTAGGAGACAGAGGACCAGTTTCATCAGCCACTGTCATGCACTATGGTGTCATTCCACCAGTGAGCCTGGCCTACTGCTTATATGAAACACAATTCATTGGTCTTTCCTTTGCCTTCAATAGAACTAAACCTAGAGCTAAAGTAGGAAAAAAAAGTGTTTTAAAGTAGACTGGATTTATTTCAAATATTCCTTCCCACAAACCTCCTATCAAATTAATTCACTTTGATTCCTCCCACTGTTTGATAGCCAGCCACCTCAGTGTGTGCCACTTCTCATGGCAAAAGCCTTTTAAAATAGTAAGCCTCTTTTGAGTACTGTTACTTTTGCTCCAAAATTTGAGTAGCTGCTTGGGAAGAAGCATTATAGTATTTACAAATTCTCTTGTGCTAGATGCAAAAATTGAATCTTAACAAGGGACATTATTAGTTGCACTGAGCTTGATAAGTCATCTTCCAAGAGTGTATCTGTTTACCTAAGTTAAGTGTTCATTGAATCCAGGGCTTACAGGGCAAAGATGTATCTCTAAAAGAGGTTTATATCAGCAGTACGAAGCCAAGATCTAGCCAGAATTTACTGTTTTCCACATTCTGACTCAAAATTCATGTCTTTTTTTTCTTGTATTTTCTTTTTTTTTTTTTTTAACAAAAGCAAGTCTTAAGTAATTCTTCATGGATTTATTTTTCTGAGGCATGGGTGAAGATTAAGTCTTAAGCAAGAGTGCAAAAGGCTCTATTTGAGATGGCAGATATTCTATCTGCTTTTTTGAAGAACTACATCTAAAACATAACAGTTTAGATCTTAGCATTAAATCTTTTCATGCTGCTGATTTCAGCAGAAATGCAGATCATGATATAGTTATTCGTCACAGATGACTGGATCCATAGTTAAGTGGGGGCACAAACAGCGCTTGGCCACTAGTACAGCATAAGGCCTGGGAGCTGCTCTCATCAAGCAGCTCTGACAGCCCAAAGAGCAGGAGGGAAAGGCAAGATCCAGCCCCTCAGGTGCCAGTATCACCATCTAGCTTGCATAAAAAAAAAAAATAAATATAGCCTACATTTTTTCTGGGCACATGAAGCCCCACCTATCAGTTTCTCACTGTTCCTCCAAACTGCAGGGCTCTACTAATGTAGAAACTACCTCCAGCGGAGACACTAAGGGAAAGCAGGGGAAGGGGTCCTTCGGTTGGGTTTCCTTTTAGATCAACTTTCAAACTGGAAGTATCTGAAGAATTCAGCATTTCATATGGCATAACCCATGAAAGCTCTCGCAGCATAATTGAGCTGGCCTAATTGCATACAGCAGTAAATGACCTTTTAAAAGGCTTTTTTCTACCACTAATTTCCATTTTTCATGGTCATTTACAACTATACTTACGATATCTAATCCACAGCTACTAATGAAGCTCCAAAGTAGTAGCTTTCAAGTTCCTTTGTCTGAATGATTCTTTAAGATACATATTAATTCAGAGAAAATGCATATAATAAGTGAATATTAATCAATGTTAGGTGGTATTCCATGCAGCATGAAGAAGATAGTTTCATAAATGTGTTATTTTGATAATCATTTGCCAATAAAGGATTTCTAACAATCCTTTTTACCTAAATGCAGCAATAATATAGAAACAGCTAACTCAAGTATGTTTTTTAGGCAGCTAAGCCTTTCCTATAAACCATAATGTCAATTTGATGGACATGTGCATTGGAGTGTAAAGCTTCTTAAAGGCTTGTTCTGGAAACAAGACACACAGGTGTCCCTATACATTTAGCAGTGTTCAAGACTGTACGGTTGCTTTAGGAAACACTTTATTTCTGCTTTTTTTTCTTTTTGAGGAGAGTATTATTATTAGGAATTTGGCCATGTGCCAGCTATATGAGGTTATGTGGCTTAAATCAGGTATCACGTTTCAAAATGAGTATATGTAGCAGGAAATAATCCATGTGCTTCGACCAGTATGTTTAATTTGTATTACAAATTAAAACGTGGTTTAAACCTACAGAATTCTACCTAAGCAAATTATTTTTCTTTCCTTTTTTTAGGGAACGATGTCAACTGAAAGGTGTGAGACTACAAAGTTTCCCAGTAAGAAAAAGACCATCAGGCAAATATCTGACAGCTTTAACTATGGAATTACTGAGAAGATCTGTCTACCTGAAAAATCTTCAAAAATCTATTAAGTTACAATGAAAATTTAAAGTTTGCTTGTAAAGTTTACAGGCCAAATATTTTTCTAACTCTTGCTTCCCAAAGTTTCTGTACCAAAGCTATCCACATCACACAAGCCCACTGCATACTTTTCCTGATCCTATGGGCAGATCAGAAAATGAGACCATTGTGTAGGAACACTTCATGTGTTGTTGTTTGTTTTCTTATGTTTTAAAGATTGAATAAGGTCTGTAAGGCATAAACAAGCAAATAGCAAAAGTAAGCAATGTATTACTGCTAATGTTCAGTTATATTAGTCTGGGTTTAAATATGCAGAAAGTTAGCAGAAGGAGACAGTAGTTTGAAAATTCTCCATTTGACATTCATCAAGGAATGTAAAGGAAAAATACTGTGTACATGTAAAGTGGATTTTCAAAATCAAGTAAATAAATAATGAAATTGGCCTTTCACACAAATACCTTCAGCAAAAGCTATCGCTTAAAATTTTATCATAAGAGACAAAGAATAACGCAGCCCAGGTGCCTTTCTCATTCGTAAAACTAGCCTGAAGTCAGACGACTCTGTATATATATATACATATACATGGAATATAAGCATGGGCAAGATGTTTACTTTCTTTCTGCATCAGATAACCACTTGTGCTTATATCCAAAAAACAAGAACAAAAAGAAAAAGAACAAGAAATGTCACTGACAATTTAAGCTTCCCTAACACTTTTTTTCCACCGAATCATATTAATGTACAAATTAGAGAGAAAAATATACCAAAATCAGAACTGATGCAGTAAATAAGCTGCAGATGAAATTTACTCAGGAGTAGGGAATGGCTCCTTATTCTTTATGAGGAATTTTCTTCTCTGAAAGTTATTTTGTCATTAAACAAGTAAAAACTTTAAACTGGGACAGGCTGAGGAAGGGAGAAATCTTTTTCTTCTTTTTAATGAACTTACCTGTTGCGAACAAGGGATGATGAAGATGGTGGGAAAAAGGAGCCACCGCATGTTCCTGCACATTCAGAAGTGAAACTGGGAGATAGGGAACAGGCTGAGCTGTGTCAGAGGAAGCACTGAACACAAAGCTCTCCTCTGTCTCCCTTGCCAACCCTACTTTCCCCAGCACATGCACGAACACATACACGCATTCACACTTGAAATTCTCCACTTCATACAGAACCAGCTTCACACTGAAATTTCCAGCTGATCTTCTTTTCTCTGCCTGGCGTTAGAATACAGATTTTCACACCCTGCTTGATCCCATCCAGCCGCTTCAGCAGATTCTGCCTGACTTAATTGAGGTCGCGTGGGGTGACATCTGATTCTTAAAATCTTGCTGCTGGAAATACAGTGTTATTTTTAACTTGTCTTTAAGTCCATATTACAGGAATTTCTGAAATCTGAAGGGCAGACCCCCAAATACATGTATTTTTTGAGACAGAGAAAGCAGAGTTTCTCAAAATTTCTAATGTATTATGCCTAGCAGAATCATAGTGTAAAAATTAACACTGTCAGTACATGCTCTCTAAGAAGGGTAAGAGATGCTATAGTGTGTTATAATGCTAGTACATATTCTGCAATTCTTCTTTCCATGGAATCCTAAAGGGGAAAACCAAACTGTACTTTTCCCTGAAGGATGCACCTTATCTTACTGCCGTGCCACCCCACTTAAACACAAGACCTTTCAAATCTCCAAATTTCTCCCTTCCTAATACTACTGAGATGACATGCCTGATTTTTAGAATAACAAGCAGGGGTCTCCAGGGTAAGACAAAAGCTCCACCCCTGCAACAGTGGTGTTGGTGGTGCCCCGGTGAATGCTCCTCCTTTGCGTTTGTCCTCACTCAGCCACGTCCTGTGAAGTCCAAGGGTTACTAGTGGAGGCTGCCGGAGCCCGCGCTCACACATCAGCTGTGTGTGGACAGAAGCAGTGGTGGGAGTATGGAATCAAATCCAGTCCAAGCAATTCTGGTTTGCTCCCCAACACAGAGCACCACATGCCCTCTGCAGTTACAAGTGAATCTTGAGCTGCCTTTCCAAACTCGAGCAGTCAGCTGTAAGTCACTGAAAAACTGCTCTTCTTTAGCATGACCACTTTGTCACATAATTCAACATAAAGTCCAAACAGTACCTAGGTACCAAGTGGATGCTGCAGATCAGTTCATTTCAGTGATGTTACTCTGAGTATCTGACAGTGCAGACCAGGTCTGACTCAAGCTTTGTGTTTCCCATTAAAAGCTTATGAACATAGTACCTACATTTCTCAAAAATTCTTCTGTATAGTTTCAAAACACAGCTTGTTTCACAGGATCAGAGGATAGTTGAGGTTGGAAGAGACCCAGGAGGTCTCTACTCCAACCACTGCTCAAGCAGGGTCAGCTCTGAGATCAGACCAGTTTAGTCAGGGCTCTGTCTATTTGCGTCTCTCCAAGGTGGAGACGACAAAGCTCTCCTGGCAGCCTTCTGGAGTGATAATAGTGAACAATGCAGGCTGTCTGGGGAGATCCCAGGTACAGTTTTTCCCTGCAGGCCCAAATAAACCCCTTTCACTCTCTGGCCTGGAAGAAGTGAGGAAAGTCAGAGGACTAGCACACCCATTCTCCTCCTCCTAGGCCTGCAGGGGAGCACACAGAGTTCATTTGACATGTGTTGTTCCTCCTTGCATCACAGAA